TTACAGTACTTGAGGTGGGAAGTACAGTGTCTGCACTCTGAAGGATTGGTGAGGAGTTACAGTACTTGAGGTGGGAAGTAACAGTGCCTGCACTCTGAAGGATTGGTGAGGATGTTACAGTACTGGAAGTGGGAAGTACAGTGCCTCACTGTGAGGTTGGTGAGGAGTTACAGTACTGAAGTGGGAAGTACAGTGCCTGCACTCTGAAGGTTGGTGAGGATGTTACAGTACTGGAAGTGGGAAGTACAGTGTCTGCACTCCTGAAGGTGGTGAGGATGTTACAGTATTGGAGTGGGAAGTACAGTGCCTAGCACTCTGAAGGGTGGTGAGGAATGTTACAGTACTTGAAGTGGGAAAGTACAGTGCCTGCACTCTGAAGGGTGTGTGAGGATGTTACAGTACTGGAAGTGGGAAGTACATGCCTGCACTCTGAAGGTGGTGAGGAGTTACAGTACTGAAGTGGAAGTACAGTGCTGCACTCTGAAGGGTGGTGAGGATTTACAGTACTGGAAGTGGGAAGTACAGTGCCTGCATCTGAAGGTGGTGAGGATGTTACAGTACTTGAGTGGGAAGTACAGTGCCTACACTCTGATGGATTGTGAGGATTTACAGTACGTGGAAGTGGGAAGTACAGTGCCTGCACTCTGAAGGATGTGGTGAGGATGTTACAGTACATGGAAGTGGGAAACAGTGCCTGCACTTGAAGGATTGGTGAGGAGTTACAGTACTGTGAGTGGAAGTACAGTGCTGCACTCTGAAGGGTGGTGAGGAATTACAGTACTTGAGTGGAATACAGTGCCTGCACTCTGAAGGATTGGTGAGGATGTTACAGTACTGGAAGTGGGAAGTACAGTGTCTGCACTCTGAAGGGTGGGTGAGGATGTTACAGTACTTGAGGTGGGAAGTACAGTGCCTGCACTCTGATGGATTGGTGAGGATGTTGCAGTCCAGGAAGTGTGAAAAGTGCCTGCACTGTGAAGGATTGGTGAGGATGTTACAGTACTGGAAGTGGGAAGTACAGTGTCTGCACTCTGAATGGTGGGTGAGGATGTTACAGTACTTGAGGTGGGAAGTACAGTGTCTGCACTCTGAAGGATTGGTGAGATATGTTATACAATACTGGAAGTCGGAAGTGAAGTACAGTGTCTGCACTCTGAAGGTGGGTGAGGATGTTACAGTACTTGAGGTGGGAAGTACAGTGTCTGCACTCTGAAGGATTGGTGAGGATGTTACAGTACTGGAAGTGGGAAGTACAGTGTCTGCACTCTGAAGGGTGTGTGAGGATGTTACAGTATTGGAAGTGTGAAGCACATTCCTACACTCTGAAGGATGGTAGGATGTTACAGTACTGGAAGTGGGAAGTACAGTGTCCTGCACTCTGAAGGTGGGTAAGGATGTTACAGTACTTGAGGTGTGAAGTACAGATGCCTACACTTTGAAGGATTGGCGAGGATGTTACAGTACTGAGGTGGGAAGTAGAGTGCCTGCACTCTGAATGGATTATTGAGGATGTTACAGTTTCAGGAGTGTGAAGTACATGCCTGCACTGTGAAGGATTGGTGAGGATGTTACAATACTGGAAGTGGGAAGTACAGTGTCTGCACTCTGAAGGATTGGTGAGGATGTTAGAGTACTGGAAGTGGGAAGTACAGTGTCTGCACTCTGAAGGGTGGGTGAGGATGTTACAGTACTTGAGGTGGGAAGTACAGTGTCTGCACTCTGAAGGGTGGGTGAGGATGTTACAGTACTTGAGGTGGGAAGTACAGTGTCTGCACTCTGAAGGGTGGGTGAGGAAGTTACAGTACTTGAGGTGGGAAGTACAGTGCTGCACTCGAGGATGTGAGGATGTTACAGTACAGTGAATGGGAAGTACAGTGTCTGCACTCTGAAGGGTGAGGAAGTTACAGTACTTGAGGTGGGAAGTACAGTGCCTGCACTCTGAAGGATTGGTGAGGATGTTACAGTACTGGAAGTGGGAGGTACAGTGCACTCTGATAGGTGGGTTAGGAGGTTACAGTACTGGAAGTGGGAAGTACAGTGCCTGCACTCTGAAGGGTGGGTGAGGATGTTACAGTACTGGAAGTGGGAAGTACAGTGTCTGCACTCTGAAGGGTGAGTGAGGATGTTACAGTATTGGAAGTGGGAAGTACAGTGCCTACACTCTGAAGGGTGGGAGGATGTTAGAGTAGTGGAAGTGGGAAGTACAGTGCCTGCACTCTGAAGGGTGTGTGAGGATGTTACAGTACTGGAAGTGGGAAGTACAGTGCCTGCACTCTGAAGGGTGGGTGAGGAAGTTACAGTACTTGAGGTAGGAAGTACAGTGCCTGCACTCTGAAGGGTGAGTGAGGAAATTACAGTACTTGAGTTGGGAAGTACAGTGCCTGCATTCTGAAGGATTGGTGAGGATGTTACAGTACTTGAGGTGGGAAGTACAGTGCCTACACTTTGATGGATTGGTGAGGATGTTACAGTACTTGAGGTGGGAAGTACAGTGCCTGCACTCTGATGGATTGGCGAGGATGTTGCAGTCCAGGAAGTGTGAAAAGTGCCTGCACTGTGAAGGATTGGTGAGGATGTTACAGTACTGGAAGTGGTAAGTACAGTGTCTGCACTCTGAAGGGTGGGTGAGGATGTTACAGTGCTTGAGGTGGGAAGTACAGTGTCTGCACTCTGAAGGATTGGTGAGGATGTTACAGTACTGGAAGTGGGAAGTACAGTGTCTGCACTCTGAAGGGTGTGTTAGGATGTTACAGTATTGGAAGTGTGAAGCACAGTGCCTACACTCTGAAGGGAGGGTTAGGATGTTACAGTACTGGAAGTGGGAAGTACAGTGCCTGCACTCTGAAGGGTGGGTAAGGATGTTACAGTACTTGAGGTAGGAAGTACAGTGCCTACACTTTGATGGATTGGCGAGGATGTTACAGTATTTGAGGTGGGAAGTACAGTGCCTGCACTCTGATGGATTATTGAGGATGTTACAGTTCAGGAAGTGTGAAGTACAGTGCCTGCACTGTGAAGGATTGGTGAGGATGTTACAGAACTGGAAGTGGGAAGTACAGTGTCTGCACTCTGAAGGGTGGGTGAGGATGTTACAGTACTTGAGGTGGGAAGTACAGTGTCTGCACTCTGAAGGGTGGGTGAGGAAGTTACAGTACTTGAGGTGGGAAGTACAGTGCCTGCACTCTGAAGGATTGGTGAGGATGTTACAGTACTGGAAGTGGGAGGTACAGTGCACTCTGATAGGTGGGTTAGGACGTTACAGTACTGGAAGTGGGAAGTACAGTCCCTGCACTCTGGAGGGTGGTTGAGGATGTTACAGTACTTGAGGTGGGAAGTACAGTGCCTGCACTCTGATGGATTGGTGAGGATGTTACAGTACTTGAGGAGGGAAGTACAGTGCCTGCACTCTGATGGATTGAGGTGGGAAGTACAGTGCCTGCACTCTGATGGATTGGTGAGGATGATACAGTTCAGGAAGTGTGAAGTACAGTGTCTGCACCCTGAAGGGTGGGTGAGGATGTTACAGTACTTGAGGTGGGAAGTACAGTGCCTACACTTTGATGGATTGAGGTGGGTAAGTACAGTGCCTGCACTCTGAAGGATTGGTGAGGATGTTACCGTACTTGAGGTGGGAAGTGCAGTGCCTGCACTCTGAAGGATTGGTGAGGATGTTACAGTACTAGAAGTGGGAAGTACAGTGCCTGCACTCTGAAGGGTGGGTGAAGATGTTACAGTACTTGAGGTGAGAAGTACAGAGTCTGTACTCTGAAAGATGGGTGAGGATGTTACAGTACTGGAAGTGGGAAGTACAGTGCCTGCACTCTGAAGGATTGGTGAGGATGTTACAGTACTAGAAGTGGGAAGTACAGTGCCTGCACTCTGAAGGGTGGGTGAAGATGTTACAGTTCTTGAGGTGGGAAGTACAGTGTCTGTACTATGAAAGGTGGGTGAGGATGCTACAGTACTGGAAGTGGGAGGTACCGTGCACTCTGATGGGTGGATTAGGACGTTACATTACTGTAAGTGGGAAGTACAGTGCCTGCACTCTGAAGGGTGGGTGAGGATGTTACAGTACTTGAGGTGGGAAGTGCAGTGCCTGCACTCTGAAGGATTGGCGAGGATATTACAGTAGTAGAAGTGGGAAGTACAGTGCCTGCACTCTGAATGGTGGGTGAAGATGTTACAGTACTTCAGATGGGAAGTACAGTGTCTGTACTCTGATTGGTGGGTGAGGATGTTACAGTATTGGAAGTTGGAAGTACAGTGCCTGTACTCTGAAGGGTGGGTGACGATGTTACAGTACTTGAGGTGGGAAGTACAGTGCCTGCACTCTGAAGGATTGGTGAGGATGTTACAGTACTGGAAGTGGGAAGTACAGTGCCTGCACTCTGAAGGGTGGGTGAAGATGTTACAGTACTTGAGGTGAGAAGTACAGTGTCTGTACTATGAAGGACGGGTGAGGATGTTACAGTACTGGATGTGGGAGGTACAGTGTCTGCACTCTGATGGGAGGGTCAGGGCGCTACAGAATTGGAAGTGGGAAGCACAGTGTGTGCACTCTGAAGGGTGGGTGAAGATGTTACAGAACTTCAGGTGGGAAGTACAGTGTCTGTACTATGAATGACGGGTGAGGATGTTACAGTACTGGAAATGGGAAGTACAGTGTCTGCACTCTGAAGGGTAGATGAAGATGTTACGGTACTTGAGGTGGGAAGTACAGTGCCTACATTCTGTTGGATTGGTGAAGATGTTACAGTACTTGAGGTGGGAAGTACAGTGCCTGCACTCTGAAGGGTGGGTGAAAATGTTACAGCACTTGTGGTGGGAAGCACAGTGCTGCACTCTGAAGGTTGGGTGAGGATGTTACAGTACTGGAGGTGGGAAGTACAGTGCCTGCACTCTGAAGAATTGGTGAGGATGCTACAGTGCTGGAGGTAGGAAGTACAGTTCTTGTAGCCATGTTTCAGTGTCTTGTAATGAGAGTGTGTCTGCAGTCTTACTTGGCCGGTTCTTCACAGTGGTCCAGGAAGGTCAGGATGCACTCCAGTTTAGGAGACACGTCATGTATCGGAGGTTCATCGCGGAGGTCAAGGTTCAGAGAACAAGCAACCAACGCTTCTGAACCTTTTCTCCTTAATACAAAGCTGAAGAAAGAAAAACTTATTCAGAACTTAACAAGTTTTATTATATAGAAAAATATATTCAAAAGTTATGCAGTTTTTTAAGACATATATATATTATATATATATATATATATATAAATTTATATATATTTTATATATTATATATATATATATATATATATATATTATAAATATATATATAATTTTTAATTTTTTTAAAATAAATTAAATTTAAAAAATTTTTTAAATTAAATAAGGATTTTGGGGTTAAACGGGGTTCACATCCTAAAAATTTCAAAACTTATTTCGCTTTTTCGGGGAAAAATTATTCAGTTAAAGAAATTTAAAGGGTTTTCAAAATTATTTTTTTAAAGACTATATTAAATTTTAAAATTTAAATAAATTTTTTAAAAATTTAATTAAAAATTTTTAAAATTTATTATCTTTAAAATAAAATTTTTTTAGACTTTTTTAGGTCCCTTTTTAAAATTTTATTAGTCAAAATTTTATTCACCTTAAAAAATTTTTACAGCTTTTAGAAATTTTTTATTCCTTTTAGAAAATTATTCGCTTTTAGTTTTTACGTTTTCCGAAATTTATAAATTTAAATTTATTCAGCTTTTAGAAACTTTTATTCCTTTTTGAAACTTAAATCCTTTGAATTTACAGCTTTAAAATTTTTTAAATTCCTTTAAGTTTTTACAGTTTTTTTAGAAAAAAATACTTTTAGTTTTTCAGGGGCAGTTTTAAACCCCAGTGTATAAACATTGGGGTTAAGGGAAATTAGCTTAAGAACATTAAACTTTTAAAAAATTAACCTAAAAAAATTTTTTAACCCCAAAAAATTAGAAACAAAAATTTTAAAAATAACAGGCAATTTGGGAGAAATAATTTGGAGGAAAATAAAAGGGAGAGTAAAGGCAGATGGGAAAGTGAAACCATGGAAAAGGGTGAAGTAAAACCCGGGGTGCGTGAGGGAAACCCCAGGAGGGGTGGAGTACCAGGGGACTGGTAAAGTGAAACCCATGGGAGACGGTGAGATAACTTGGAGCGGTGAGAGTAACCCCATGGCAGTTGGGGTAGATAAAACAGGCAGGGGTAAAGAGTGAACCCCAGGAGAGGGAGAGTGAAAAAGGCAGGGTGAAGTGAAAAAAGGGAAAAAATTGGTTTGGAACCCATTGGGGTTGGTGAAGTGAACCAAATGGCAGACGGTGGGGGAGTGAAACCCTGGTAGCTGTGGAGTAACCATGGGAGACTGTTGAGATGAAGGAGATGGAGAGGGTGAAGGGCGGATGGTTAGAGTGAACCCATGGCAGACGGTGGAGTAAACCCCAGGGAGAAGGGGGAGAGTAAACCCATGGCAGAAGTGAGAGTAAACCCCATTTAGCTGGGAAAAAGAACCCCAGGGCCTGGGGAAGTGTTCCCATGGGACGGTGAGAGTAACCCAGGAAAGGGGAAAGATAAAAACCCGGGGGAGGTGGGGTAACCATTTTAACGGGGGGAGAGTGAAAACCCAGGCCCGATGGGAGATGAACCATTGGAACGGGGGGAGTAAACCCCAGGTAAAGGGTAGAGTGAAGGCAAAAGTGAAGTAAACAGGGGAGACGGGGAAAAAGGTAACCCATGGAAGGACGGGTGAAGGAACCCTGGCAGACGTAAGGGGAAAAACCCCGGGGGGATGGTGGGAGGAGTAACCTTGGCAAATGGGGAGGGGAAAAACAGGGGATGGGAGAGTGAAAACCCATGAGGACGGGTGGGGTAAACCCAAGGAAACAGACTGAAGGAGTAACCCCATGGAACGGTGGGGAGTAAACCCGGGGAAACGGGGGAGGTAAAAAAGGAGAGGGTAGGTACCAAGGAAAGATTTTGAAGGGGGTAAAAGGCAGGATGGTGGGGGAAACCCATGGAAGAGGAGGAGTGAAAACCCAAATGGCAGAGGGGTGAAAAGGGGAAACCCAGGAGACGGGGGGGAACCCATGGAAAACGTAAAGGTAAAAATGGGCAGACGGGTGGAGTGAACCCCTGGGGGGAAAGGGGTTAGGGAAACAAGGAAAACAGTGGAAGGAAAGGCAAGTGTAAAGTAACCCATGGGACTGGGAGAGTAACCCAATGGCAGAGGGAAGTAAAAGGGGGCCGGGTGAATGAAAAAGGAAATGGGGAAGTAAAACCCATGGCAGACGGTAAGTAAACCCATGGAAAGACGTATAGTAAACCCCATGGAGACGGGGGGGGGAGTAAAAAACCCAAAGGGAAAGAAGGGAAAAGTAAACCCAGGGCAGACGGGTTTAAGTAACCCCATGGGAGACTGAGAGAAGAATAAAGCGGGCAGGGAGTAACCAAGGCAAGGGAAGAAAACCCGGGCGGGACGGGAAAGATGAACCCCGGGGAAAGCGGTGAAGATAAAGGATTGGGGGAGATAAATTGGGCAGAGGGGAAAAAATGAACCCGGGGAAAACGGTAGAAAAAACCGGAAGGGTAAGATAAAAGGGCAGCGTAAGGGAACCTGGGGAAAACCCAGGAGGGGTAGATCCCCTGGCAGGGGGTAAGCTGAACCTTTGGGGCAGCGGGGGTAAGACTAAAACTCGTGGAAGGGGTTTAAAAAGACTAATTCAGGGGGGTAAGACTAAAAGTGCAGCGGGGTAAGACTGAAGTGGCAGGGGGTAAGACTGAACCCGGGGGTTTGAAAGGGGACTGAACGGGCAGGGGTAAGCTGAAGTGCGGGGGTAAGATGAACGTGGAAGGGGAAAGGGCTTAAAAGGCAGGGGGTAAGACTAAAGTGCAGGGGGAAGACTAAAAAGTGGCAGGGGGTAAGACTGAACCCCGTGGCAGCGGGTAAAATAACCCTGGCAACGGGTAAGATGAAACCGTGGGGGTTAAGATGAAAAAAAGTGGGGCAGCGGGTAAACTAAAAATGGCAGGGGGTAAGCTAAAGGGGGCAGGGGGGAAGACGAAGTGGCAGGGGGAAAGACTGAGGGGGGCCGGAAGACTGAAGTCAGACGGGTAAGATAACCCGTGAGGGGGTAAGACTGAAGGGACGGGAAAGATGAACCCCGGCAGGGGGTAAACTGAAGGGTGGCAGGGGGAAAGACTGAACCCGTGGCAGGCGGGTAAGAAAAAGGCAGGGGGTAAGACTGAACCCGGCAGGGGGTAGACGCCCCGGGGCGGGGGGTAAGAAAACCCGGGAAAGGCGGGAAAGACTGAAAGGAACGGGTAAAAGCCCCGTGGAGGCGGGAAGACAACCCGTGGCAGGGGGTAAGACAAGTGGCGGGCGGGAAAAACTGAAGGGCAGGCGGGGGTAAGGACTGGTGGCAAGGGGGGGTGGGGAAACCCCGGCAGGGGGTAAGATGAAACGGGGGCGGGGGGGGAAGACGGGAACGTGGAGGGAAAAGCTAAAAAGTGTCGGGCGGGAAAAAATAAAAGGCAGGGGGTAAGACTGAAGGGCGGCGGGTAAGAGAAATGGGAACGGGTAGTGAACCCCAGGCAGGGGGAAAAAGCGGAAGGGCAGGGGGGTGCTGAAACCGGGGAAGGGGGTAAGGGATGAACCCGTTGGCGGGCGGGGAAACAACCCTGGCAGGCGGGTAAAAAAACTGAAACCCGGTCAGGGGTAAGCTGAAACGTGGAGCGGGTAAGAGAAAGGGCAGGGGTAAGACTGAAAACCCGGGAGGGGGGTAAGATGAACCCGTGGCGGGGTTTAAGACGCCCTGGGGGCGGGTAATGAACCCGGGGAGGGTTAAGATAAAGTGGCAAGGGTAAGATGAACCGTGGGGGCGGGTTTAAAACTGAAACCCCGGCAGGGGGTTTCGGCGTGGAAGGCGGAAGGGAGAACGTGGAAGGGTGAGGGAACCCATGGCAGGCGGGTAATAAACGGAACGTGGAAAGGGGAAAGATGAAACCCTTTGGAGGGGGGTAAACTGAACCCCGGCTGGGTAAGCTAACCCCGGGGGCAGGCGGGTAAGGACTAACGGCGGGGGTAAGCAAAACCCCGGCATGGGGAAAGGCGAAGTGGCACGGGGAAAAGAGAACCCGTGGAGGGCGGGGGTAAGCTGAAACCCGGCAGGGGGTAAGATTTTGAACGGGCAGGGGGTAAGACTGAAGTCAGGGGGAAAGCTAACCCGGGGGAATGCGGGTTGATGAACCCGGGGGCAGGCGGGTGACGAAGTGGCAGGGGGTAAGACTAAAAAATGGCGGGGAAAAGACTGAACCCAAGGGGGCAGGGGGGGTAAGCTCCCGTGGCAGGGGGGTGATGAACCCGTCTGGGGGTAAACTGAAACCCTTTGGGGGCGGGTAAGACTGAAACCCGTGGAGGCGGGTAAGATGAACTGGCGGGCGGGGAAAGGGATAAAAAGTAAGGGCGGGGGTAAGATAAAACCCGTGGAGGCGGGGGAAGGACTGAAGTGGCATGGGGTAAGCTGAACCTTTGGGCGGGGGCGGGTAAGTAAAGATGAACCCGGGGGCAGGCGGGTAGACAAACCCCGTGGAAGGCGGGAAGAGACCGGGCAGGGGGTAAGACGAAGTCAGGCGGGGTAAGACTGAAAACCCTGGCGGGGGAAAAAAGGGCCCGGGGAGGGGGTAAGACGAACCCGTCACGGGGTAAGACTAGTGCAGGGGGTAAGCGAAACCCTGAGGGGTAAGACTGAACCCAGGAGGGGGAAAGGGGTGAACCGTGGCAGGCGGGTAAGACTGAACGGGCAGGGGAAAGATGGGGAAACAAGGGGCAAGGGGTTAAAACTGAAACCCAGGCAGGGGGGTAAGATGAACCCGTGGCAGGCGGGTAAGACTGAAAAAGGGGAGGGGTAGGCTGAAACAGGCAGGGGGTAAGGAACCCTGGCAGGGGGTAAGACAAAGTGCGGGCCGGGTTAAGCTGAAGTGGCAGGGGGAAAGGGACGGGGAACCCCGGCAGGGGTAAGACTAAAGTGGCAGGGGGTAAGGACTAAACCCGTGGCAGGGGGTAAACTGAAACCGGGGGCCAAAGGGGGTAAACTGAACCCTGGCAGGGGTTTAAGCCTGAACCCGGAGCGGAA